CCTGAATTTCAACCTGTACAGACAAAGTATCACACTTTGAGGCTGAAGAGATGACGCAGTTATTAAAGGCTAAGGCTAACAACCAAAACATCAAAATGTCACACTTTAATAACATTTTGAGATCACTTATATCAAAAAGAATAAAAATACGTTAATCTTACCTAAGAATTTGAGATATTTTGTTTCTCTTCTACATATTTCTGACAACACTCTGACAAAGACTCTGTGTTAGTTTGTTTCTTCATTGCTGTGACAAAATACTCTGACCACTACCAACTTGGGGAGGAAAGGGTTTATTTAGCTTACATATCCTAGGTCACAGTTCATCCAGGAGCCCAAGGTAGCAACTCAGGGCAGGAACCTGGAGGCAGAGGCTGGAGCACAGGCCATGGAGGAATGCTGCTTACTGGCTTGCTCTCCTGGCCCCTGCTCAGCCTGCTTTCTTATGCAACACAGGCCCACCTGCCCAGGGGTGTCACCACCCGCAGTGGGCTGAGCCCTCCTACATCACTCATCAAGAAGATGCCCCTCAGACATGTCCACAGGCCAGTCCAATAGAGGCAATTCCCCAATTGAGGCTGCCTCAACCCAGGTGTGTCAAGTTGACACAAACTATCCAGCACAGACTGTCTGACAGAAATACTTCCTAATCAAGCCTGGTTGTACAAGTCTATAATCCCAGCTACTTGGGAAGCTCAGGCAGGATGATGTCAAGTTCAAAGCCTACCTGGACTAGAAAATGAGTTCAAGGCCAAACTGGACTTTGTGAGACCCTGACTCAGAAAATAAAGAGGGCTGAGGAGCAAAGTCCTAGCTAGGTTCAATCACCAGTATTGAAAAAAAAAGAAAGGAATCCTGTCCAAACGCAGCAGTTGAGATGAGTTTATTATACATATATATCTTTATATGCAAAAATATGAATTCCAAAAAGGTACGTAATTCCACAAGTTGATAAACAGTTGTAAAAAACTGTCCTCCTCTGTTTTTGTTTCTGAAGAAATGATGTCAGAAGACACTAGGTTGTCATTTTGCCTTCTACAGTAAAGACAAGTACATAACTGTTGAACTAAAACCCAGATATCAGATAAGACCAGTTTGAATTAATGTTTAACTTATAAGAGCTATATGAAATGCAATGTTAATCAAATCCTTGACCTTGGGTGGGGATAACTATTAGGAAGCAAGGGAAGTTCAGACTACATATAATTTGAATTAGTAGTTATATGCACTACTGAAAACAGTCTTCAGAGAACAGGAATACTGGGTGATCAGAAATCTTCCTGCTTATATAATAACTACCATATAAGGTTAATAAATCTGTTATAAACAGTCATATTTCTAGCATGAAATTAAACCCTATTCCTAGAAGACAAGGTAAGAAAAATTAAACCTGAAGAGTTTTGTAACAAATGACATGAGATGATATATATGTTACTCAGCCTGACATAATTCCATAGCATTCCTTTTACAAAACAGTATACCAAGGGTCCACCTGTTAAACTCATTATTCAGTGGCAGCATTCAAATTATTACAATAGTGACCTATTACTGACAACCGGACTATGTGTACTGAGGTTAGTTTAGGGCTGTGGCAAATATGCAAGATATTTTAACTCAATGCCATAAAGTAAACCTTCAAAAATCTTCAAAGATGTCTCTTCAATCAAGTATGTATACAATGTTTTGTTTTGTTTTGTTTCTTTTGGGGGGGAGGTGGTCTTTTTTTTTACTTACTCAACAAACCAAGAAGGACAACAACATGGTAAACACTGTTTAAATTTTAATCATTAAAAATAAACCTGGCCGGGCATGGTGGCACACACCTGTAGTCCCAGCACTTGGGAGGCAGAGGCGGGCGGATCTCTGTGAGTTCAAGGCTAGCCTGGTCTACATAGTGAGTTCCAGGACAGCTGGGGCCACAGGGAGACCCTGCTTCAAAAAGACAAAAATAAATAAATAAATAAATAAATAAAATACACCTGATACTCAAGAAAAACTGGTCACTTTGTTAGTCAATCAAATAACTGCTCCAAAAATTGACAGCATCAAACATTCATGCAGCCTGCCTTCCTTTCAAAGAAGTATCATCAATAACTGATGAAGGGACATTTTTCTGTGTCCCCTAACAAATGAAAAACTACATTACAGTTTTGCAAAAATCTTCATGCAATAGATAAAATTATTGCTGAATGCTTTATTTATTATTATAGCTTTCCATGCTGAAAACAGAACCTGAATCAATTAACTTTCTACACTTGCCTGTTTATAGGTGTCCACAGAGGAACAATTAAATAAAACCATGGGAGTCCATTAGCAAAATCTAGACCGTAGAAAACTCTAAGGTCAAAAACTGCTTTCTTCCACAAATAAATAGGAAAAAAAAAAAAATGCTGTAAAAAATTTAGAGGGGATCCTCTAAAGTAAAGCTTCAAACATACTTTCAATAAAATACATGCAAATACTTTGTTTAAATAGTGTCTGGATAAAACAGATGCTTTTTTATTGAAAGAGTTGTCTTTTTTTTTTTTTAATTTATTGCTTTTTTTTTTAACATTTTACGTGTATGCGTGTATTGCCTGCATGTAGGAAAGTGCACCCGTGTCGTGCAGTGCCCTCAGAGGTCAGAAGATCCCCTGGGGCTGGAGTTATGGACAATTGTTAGCTGCCACGTGGGTGCTGGGATTCGAACTCCAGTCTTCTGCAAGAACAACCAGTGTTCTTAACTGCTGAGCCATCTCTCCAGCCCTGTTTTTTAATTTTTTAAGCTATCTTTTTTTTTGGGGGGGGGGGTCTTTTTGAGACAGGGTCTCCCGGTAGCCCCATCTGGCCTGGAACTCACTATGATGTACACCAGGCTGGCCTTGAACTCACAGAGATCCACCTGCCTCTGCCTCCCAAGTGCTGGGATTAATTAATGGCATGAGCCACCAATCCCTGCTAGAGTTATCTATTTTTTTGGGGGGAGGGGCAGGTTCTTTTTGAGACAGGGTCTCCCTGTAGCTCCAGCTGTCCTGGAACTCACTGTGTAGACCAGGTTAGCCTTGAACTCACAGAGATCCACCTGCCTCTGCCTCCTGAGTGCTGGGATTAAAGGCATGCACCACTATGCCTGCCGATTTATCTATTTTTAAAGAGATATTTCTGGCATTAAACTACACAAACCTAAAGTTACTTTTTTTTTTTGGTCTTTTTGAAACAGCGTCTCCCTGTAGCCCCAGCTGTCCTGGAACTCACTATATAAACCAGGCTGGCCTTGAACTCACAAAAGACTGCCGCTGCCTCCTGAACACTGGGATTAAAGACATGCGCCACCACACCGGGCTTTAAAGTTACTTTTTAAATCCATATTAAGATTTCAAGGTATGCACGTGTGTGTACATAGATGCATACACATACATACACATATACACACACACACACACACACACACACACAAATATCCTTTTTAATCTTTTTTTTTTTTTCGATCTTTTTGATACAGGGTCTCCCTATAGCCCCAGCTGTCCTGGAACTATGTAGACCAGGCTGGCCTCGAACTCACAAAGATCAGCCTGCCTCTACCTCCTGAGTGCTGCACACATAAATATCCTTTAATAATTACAACTATATATCTAACCAGGAAGTTAAGGAAAACTCCAGTGAAATCTCTAAATTATTACAGATGAGATCATTTTTAAGGGGTGATTTGCTTTTTAAACAGTTGAAAGTATAAAAAAAGAGCCTGAAGGAATAATGCCAAAATACACTTAACTTAAACAGTAGATTGGAGCTGTTCCTCTGACCATTGCCAGTATCTTCAAAGTAATAATAATGCTCCTCACTTGAAAAACATGCTTTTAAACAGCATCCTTCTCAATAACCTAAAATCAAATTTGTCATGTGAAAATTCATAAGAAAGGGGAGGAAAAGAAAGTTTTAGGTTTGTTTTTTGTTTCTTTTTGGTCTTTTTGAGACAGCTGTAGCCCCAGCTGGCCTGGATTCACTATGGACCAAGCTGGCCTCGAATTCACAGAGATCTGCCTGCCTCTGTGTCCCGAGTGGTGGGATTAAAGGCATGTGCCACCACACCCAGCAAGAAAGTTATTTTTGAATGGCAAAAACAAAAATATTGAGGAGTCAGAGTGGTTAAATGCAAGGATGTGAGTCAGGCACTTCTGAGTTCTAGGTTCAACCCCACATCATTTTCTCATCAGTAAAAGTGGATAATTACAACCCCTGCCTCACTGGACTGTGGTTAGTATCAAATGAGACAATGCTCCTATATGTTAACATAATGGTAATCACATAGGAGGACCCTAAATCAATAACCTTTGTACACTAAAAGGCCAATGACGGAGAAAAAAGTTTAATATCCTCACAAAAATGTCTTCATTCTATCCTCATTTGAGGGAGAAAAAGAGCAGCATAACAATAAAAATATTTTGGACACATGAGATGCCTCAATGCCTGTCAACTTGAGTTCAATCCCCAAAACCCAAGAAAAGGTAAACAGAACCAACTCCACAAAGTTGTCCTCTGACCTGCACAAGAATGCACCCACCACACACATCCTACACACACTAAGACTGTTCTTTTGGGGGTTTAGGTTCACCTACGTAATTTTGAGATCATTAAAGTATCAAAAAACACGTGTGTTTGTTTTGTTTTTTGTTTGGTTGGTTTTTATTTTAAGCAGGGTCTCCCTGTGGCCCCAGCTGTCCTGGAACTCACTATGTAGACCAGGCTGACCTCAATTGAACTCACATAAATCTGCCTGCCTCTGCCTCCCAAGTGCTGGGACTACAGGTGTGCGCCACCAGGCCCGACTCATGTAAGTTTTTAATAGTTGGACAATACTGTCAATTTACTTAAATCTGAAACAGTGGGAAATAAAAAATTTCTAACATTTTTAAATTTAGGATCACTAATAGAAAATACACTCCTATTAAGGTGATAAGGCTGGTTACAAAATTTTATAATCAAGTATTTTTAAGCACAGAAATAAAAAGGAAAGCAATTACCTTTGTACAATAAAGCATCCAAAGTTCAAAGAGCCTCTCTCTGGATGCCATTCTGGCTTTCACTCTGGCACCTTAATTTTTCCTCAAAAAGAAGGTTCAAGATCACAGAGTGTTCATTTTATTCTCCTAGTTTCTCAGCCGTTACAGTAAAGCTCAAAGCAGTGGGGTGAACAAAAGTAAACGAAAACAAATGGACTGTCTCTTGTCAATAAAAAACAATTTCAGCAGTTAGTCCAACATATCTTCATCAAGAGTAGCTGGGCACTCAAATCTGTGAAATAGAAAAATACCCAAAGGTTTAGGGGGGGAGGCATGTTTTTTTAATCTAGACTTACCAGAAACTAAAATATTTATCTGCTTTGTCTGCCCCAAATCAAAGGGATAAACTTTTACACTGATTAGATGTCAGAGAAACTTGTTTCCAGAAGGCATCGCGACTAACACAGCATGCAACAGCAAGGTGAAATTCTGGAAATCTCTAGGGCGGAGTCACACCCCAAATGTGTTAAATGACACTCAAGAAGACTCCCACTCAGAGGTTTTCCGTTAACCATAAAGACGAGGAACATAATCTATAAATACATACAATGTCTCAGAGAGGTCTAGCCTGCTACTTGAAAGTTGCTGGGAATGTTTGCTGCTTTGCAGGGCAAGGCGTGGGGGAGGGTGGGAGGAATTCCCGTTTGTTTGTTTTAGCAATCCTCGGAGCATGAAAGTCGAGCTGCCCACCTGGCCTGCCCACCTCTCCACCAAGGAAGGAGCACGCAGCGCGCGAAGGACCGCATCCCGGGAGCTTACAAGCGTGCCGGGGATCTTTACTTTTCTCCCCAGCCGAGGCAAACCGCTGGCTTGCCAATCAGCTTCAGAAGCGCGGCGGGGCCCTCCGGGACCCAAGCAGGGACCCGCGCCAGCCGGCCGTAGCCGGACACACCCTGGCCGGCCTCTCCCCCCGACGCCACCGCCCCTCAGCTACAGCCCTCCACCTCAGTGCCTCGGCCCTCCCGCCCCGCAACACACCAAGGCCTCCGCCGGGATCCCCTCTCCCCTCACCGCGCTCGCAGGCCCACCGCTGCCACCCCGGCCGCCGACTAGCTTGCAGCCCTCAGCCCTGCCCAGGGCCAAGCCCCGTGTCACTCCACAGCCCAGCGGGCGGGAGTCGGAGGCGGGGTCGTGACGGCGCGGGGCGGGGCGCGAAGACAGAGGAGCCGGGGCGGGGTAGCCCCTCGGCTAGTCATTCCGGCCGGCCGGGATTTATCAGGCCTTGGGGCGGACGCTTCTCATTGGTCGCTCAGCCCAGAAGCCCCGCCCCCAGCATGCCTGCGCAGACGCAGTCGACAAGGTTCCTAGGACTGCGGGCGATGGGCACGAGCTCCAGCACTCAGGTCAGCAGTCTTCCGACTGGACGTGAGGAGCGACGTATGACGTCAGCGCCCCGCCCCACCCCGCTCCTGCTAGGTGGGACGGGCGGAGCTTTCAGCCGTTTTGGTTAGGGTAGCTTGGAACCGTACACTGACAATTAGAGAGGAGTATCTTTTGGTTTCTTTGTAGAAATAGGATTGGTCCTGGGACTTTATAGTAACGTAAAAACACAACACTCACACCTCCAAGAAAAAAATTTCCCTTAATGGTGTTGGCATCTTGTCATTGCTGCTCTGCGAGTCTGAGGCTAATCTGGGCTACATGAGACCTTGTCCCAAAAGAAAAAGGAACAGGGGAGAGGGCACAACCAGGAAAAGTGCCGAATATAAGAAATAAATGATTATGGCCCATTTTCAGTCTGAGGTTTATTTAGAATTCAGTGGCGAGTCACAGATAAGCAGTAGGCACTAGGCCCCTGTCTTCCCTAGCTAGCAGCTGAGGCAAGCTTGTCTAGGCACCCTCAGTTCGTCTTAAGGTTGAAAGTTGTCTGCAGTCTGGTATGTGACTAAGGCCACGCATAAAAAAAGGGGAAGGAATTCAGAGCCCCAGCATATTCGTTAGATAAGGCTTTGCACCTTAAACCAATAGGATGGGGATTGGGGAAGGAGACACTATTAGACACCGGGAAAACTGTACACCAGAAGAATTCAGCCAATGAGAATTGTCGGGGACAGAGAAATGTGATTAGGACTCTAAAAGCCACTGTTTGGTGCCAAATGGCTCACCAGCCATTCTGCCTTTTCTCTAGGCTGATGCCGGCTTCTGCAGAATTCTTTAAAAAAAAAAAAGTTCCAGGCTTCACTAGTCATTTGAATTAATTATTACAGAGTGAGGGTCTTGTTTCTCACACCATGCAAGTTTGACTGTACTGACCAAACTGACCCCATTTTGGATAAAGTAGCCATCTTAGAAGCTTAGCCATAATGTATTTCTAGCTCAAGGGTTGTTTTCAGAAACCCTGACCCCTTTCTCCCTTTTCCTCCAAAGAGAATGCTGCCACGGTCACTTGCTCATTAGACATATAGAAAACAAAATTATTACGATATGACGAACTGCTGATTCTGGCTTCTATAACTTGCTTGTTTTGCTATTTTAGGGCATCTTGACCTGTAAACTGAGATCACCCTCTACCCTATTATTTGGGGACCACCTTGTCAACATTCCTTTTGGGAGGTTTTAGCTTTAAAAAGTCTCCTTTCTCTCTCCCTCCCCACTGCAGCACTCTAATCAGAAACCGTGACCACAGTCCAAGCTAGCGTGAATAAAATATTTTATCTCGATCTGAATTGAGTCTGGTGGTCTTTCCTCAGTAGTCCCGGGGTCCATAACATGACCACCTGAGGTAGAAGGTGGAGACAGGAAAACCAGTTTGACCCTGGAGGGCCGGCTAGCCTGGAGACACCTGCCCAATAAACAAGAGAAACCCTGACTCAACAAGGTCGAAGACAGGAACCTACTTCAGAAAGTTGTCCTCTGACCTACACACACACACACACACACACACACACACACACACAATTTTTACAGCTACTAATGGCATCACGGGGGGTCCCACTCTCATGATCTGTATAAAAAAATCAACCAATGCCCTATTTTGTCTCAGCTATTTTCATCTATGACAAGTCTATAAACTTTTCTTGTAAAGAGACATGGAGTAAATATTTCAGCTTTGCAGCCCATGCTACAACTTGCTTATCAAAATAGAAAACACATCTTGTGATACTGTCACCAGAATCCAGAGTTCTTATTGCCTGTCACCACAAACACCAACAAGTAGAGGACAGGAATTAAAGCATTATGCTGTGCTTTGTTTAGAAAGTCAATGATCTGAGGAGGTGACTGATTAACATCCTACAAATTTGCCTTCTATCTCATCTCCAGCCAGCTGTCTTTAAAGGGAGTGGAAACACTGCAGCCTCAGTTTAGTCTTGGCCCTTTGGTCAGGTGGCCAGCCTTGTCTGGAAGGTTCATGGGCTTGTTATTTATCTGCTTCTGCCATTTGCACTTTTCCCACATAATGGTCTCTGTAAGCTGGGTTTGCATACTTCCAAGACCACTGAGCCTTATATTCCTCCCTAGGTATCACTTGGGCTAAGGGTTAACTCAAACCATGAGCAGTGATGTGGAGCTATTTAAAATGTATGTGTGCAGATTCCTTTCTACAATACAAGTACAAATGTGACCTTATAAGATATACAAGTGCCCCATCTGTTCCCCACCACCACCCGTATGCAAATATTAGATGAAATTCATTTCTCAGTGTTTGAACACTGCCCTGCCCATCCTTTACTATTGTTCTTATCTGCTTTCATCCAACCATGACAAGGGTGAGAATAGTTTGCAACCTTCAGGTTTTATACAGAAATCACATTTTACTTTCAACTCTTTCCTTGGTTGTCTAGCACAGGTCTTAAAATTTTTCCTTTCTCAACCCCTTTTTGCCTGGGAACTTTTTACATGACCTTGGGTATATAGTTCTATAAAATAAATAACATAAATCAAAGATTTACTGATGATAAATCATAATGAGATTTATTTTAAAACAATTCTGGTATATAGGTAATTTTATATGTTAAAGATGGAAGTAATTTTATGTATTTTACATAAAGAATTAAATATTGGCTGAATATTTAATACTGCAGGTCATAGACCATCCTCAACATTTATTTTTGAGTTTGTTGCTATTTCAATTTTGTAATCGTCAATGCTAAGAATATTCTCACAAATATGTAGTACAAAATAGCAGAGGTGAGCTGGGAGGATGGTTCAGTAGATAAAGTGCTTGTTCCACAAGCATGAGGACATGAGTTTGAATCTTCAGAACAAACTTAATACTTACATGCTAAGGAATGATGATAGAAAATATTAAAAGTTCGTTTTCCATAATTAAATCATTATGCCTCTATAAAAGCAGAAGACTTCATGTGTACAGTAAAAACACAGAATTCAGCATCAACTGGCCTGAAGGTGGTAGGGGTGTGGGTAATTCATAATATATGATAGTCTTGAACCTGAGCTAAGGTATTTCAGGAAGCAGTCATGGCCATGATGTGGAGTACAGACATCTTCACATTCTGTGTGGTGTAGAAGTGCACATCTTGTGTGTTCAAACCAAGACTACAGTGAAGTGCTATAGTACCACACAGAACATCTCAGGTTTGTTATGTACTTTATTTTAAATTGAGCTTTGGTGTTTGTGCGTCCAGAAATCTTTTACTGTTGTCACATTTTTCCCAATCCCCATATAGTATGACAAACCATAGTTACTTTCCTGGGTCTACTGGGAAAAACAAACAAAAAACAACACTTAACATGCCAAAGCTTCAGGGAAAGGGCTCAGGGTATAGCTCAGTGGCAGAACACCCATAAGGCCCTGGGGTCTATTCCTCAGTAATGGGTGTAGAGATGACTCAGGAGGAAAAGCACCTTCCTAAGGAATCCTCCATTTTAGTAATTAGCAACTTCTTTCAGTTGCTCAGTCCAAGAACCTAAAAAGTATGATTTGCATCTTCCTCATGCACTTCAAATCCAATTTAATTCTATGACTGTATCTTTGAAATATATCTAGAATCTAACCATTTCACCATGCCACCCACACCACTACCACCTTCTGGCCAGTTAACGCTAAAACTTTCTCTGGGTTGCTGTAACAGCCTTTATACACATTCTGTTGCTTCTAATCGTAAACCCTTGTCATCCAATGGATTATTCTCAACATAGCTGAAAGAATTTTTTTTGAGACAGGGTCTCACTATGTAGCCTTAGCTAGCCTGAAACTTTCCATATAGACCAAGCTGGCCTCAACTCAAAAAGATCTGCCTGCCTCTACCTCCTGAGTATTGAGATTAAAAATATGTGCCACTATACCCAGCTGCCTGAGAGATCTTTTAACACAGAAATAAGATGTCATGCCCCTGCTGCAAACCCTCAAATGGGCTTCCCATGACACTTACAAAGACCTGCAAGGACCTACTGTGCTTCAGCCCACACCTGCCTCTCTGACTTCTCAAGCTCTTTTGGTCTCCCTTTATTTCATTGGAGGCATATGACTTCCGTGCTGCTCCAAAAGTACACAAAGCACACTCCAGCCTCTGGGATGTTCGCATGCTGTCCTTCTTACCTGTAATGCACTTACCCCAGATGTCTGTGCACATCTTCAAATCTCTACTGAAAAATCACTTTATCCTTGAAGCATTCTCTGAGCTTTCTTCACAAAACACTAACCTTCTTACTCTATTTTTTCACTGTAGCACTTAACAGCTGAAACATAATGTATCAGTTTTGTGTTCTCCATAGTAAAATGCAGACACCATGAAAACACAGACTTTGTTCACGCCTATATTCTTAGGCTCTTCCTGCCTTATACACAATAGGAGCTCAATAAATATTTGCAACAATATGAATGAAATTACCTGTTTCACTAGAAGTTCCTATATCATTCCTATAAGTTATTTTACAAGACGTTAGACTCTTCATAAAACTATTGCTCTATCCAGGCATGGTGGTACATGCCTTTAGTCCCAGCGCTTGGGAGGCAGAGGCAGGCAGATCTCTGTGAGTTCGAGGACAGCATGGTCTACATAGCAAGTTCCAGGTTAGCTGAGCAAGTTCCAGGTTAGTGGAGCATAGTAGCACACACCTTCAGTCCCAGCACTCAGGAGGCAGAGGTAGGCAAATCTCTGTGAGATCAGGGTCAGCCTGGCTCATGTTGGAAGTTAGAGGCCAGCTGATGCTAAA